CTTTTTTCTTTTGATGAAAAAGACAAAGAGATTCTATTTATGCCAGCATAACTGAGGTGCTGCCATTTCATATGGATCCGGGTGTGCAGAAATCAAGTTTTATGTGCCTTTGATACTTGATGGGTGGTAAACATGGGGGGAAATGAAATTTAAATGGTGACACCCAATTTTCTATTTGAAACAGTAGACCAAGGGGAATGAGGTTGATAGCAAACGGTTTCATGAAGCCTATGGTTCCTAACTGATTTTCTGAATCCCTTTATATTCAACACCATCAACCTTGGGCAAGGCCAAGCATATGGTGAAATTGAAGGGAATCAAAAAGATATGTGGATGGTTCACCATTCGCATCTATACATAATAAATGTAGACATTTGACTTGTATGCTTTGTGAAGGATCCTCCCACATTTTAATTACTGTGCCAAAATAGCGATGAATTGTTCATGTGTAGCTCATAGGATACTACCATTTTTATTATTGTTCATGCCTCAAAAAACATATAAACAAAGTTGCCGTTGCGACTGCTTGTTAAAGCACTTGTTTCTATGCTCTCAAGCCAAGAACCTTATCAAACTGTTCCTTTTTCGGAACTCTGAATGGATGGAAGAAAAATGTTTCTGGACATCTGATTTTTCATCTTTAGACATTCTATATATTTCTGGATTGAGATGTGAAGAAGCAATTGCAACTTAACCATCTCACTGTTGAGTTTAAGGGTAGGACTTGAGTTGAAATCCTTCTCAGTCTGAAAATATATCCTTACATATGCACATGCGCACATGCACACATATGCTTATGTATATTAAAGTATCAGTAATTCACATCTTTGCCTACATAATATGCTGTAATATAATTTATCATGTTTTAGTGAATACAGGCACATTTACTGCGAGCTGCAGAAGTTAAAAGAGTCATTGAATGGATTATGGGAAACGTTGATGGCTGTTATGCTGCTGATACTGTTGCTGTTGGAGGACAAGGTTCAACAACAGCTGCAGTGGCTGAAGAGAGTGAAAGTCAAGTTATTTCACATGGCCCATATTCTCTTCCAAGAAGCGCTTCCAAAGTTTCATTGTTTCAAGGAAGGATAAATGAGTCTTCCAGTCCTAGCACATCAAAGAATTTCCTGTGAGCCCTTATCACTTATTTTATTGTCTTATCTCCCTTCCAAAAATCATTTGGTTCTCATATCTGTTAATTTTCACATGCATTTTGACAAGCGATAGAAATTGTGGACATTGTTCTTTTGACATGGTATACTCTTTTGTTAACAGAATAACCTTTATGATGTGATTGTTGTTCGCTTTACCACTGTTTCAAAGAGCCTCCGCCTAGGCGTATGCCTAGGCCTAGGCGGTACTTAGGTTGCCTAACTAGTGCCTAGCGTCTAGGTGATACCTAGGCTGCCCACCTAGTTCTTGGTAGTGTTTAGGGGAACCTTGTTTGCTTACGTGGACTACACACTTTAGGCCTTGAATGTTATTTTCTATGTTGCAGGTTCCACGTTCTCCAATCTCCTTCAAACTTCTTTAACCTCCAAATATGAACACCTCTACTACCTCCTCCGATCTTCAGCAAAACCTCCGTGACCACCACTTAAATGAAGAAAGAAATCCGCCTAGACACCAGTCCTGCACCTAAGCTTTCTATAACATTGACATTTACTATTAATCATTGTAATTTAAAAATGGAAAAAGAAAATCTCCTAGGCTCTAGGCGTCTGGTCCAACACCTAGGCCTCCTAACGCTTGCTATAACCTTGTTAGTGGCTATTTGATATTTAAGTATGTATGGTTTATTGTGGATCTAAGATTGCTATCTATTTTTTTGACAAATTTATATGAATTTAATACATATTTTTATCAATTATTATAATTAAATAATTTTAAAAATAGCCAAACACCTAGGCGTCTACGCGCTGGCCTAAACGCCTAGTCCACCTAGCGCCTTTTGTAATGTTGCGCTTTACTATGCTAACATGTATATACCTTGAAATTCTTTTGACTACACTGATGATCCTGGCCTAAGCTTGTCTGTTTTAACTTAAAGTTGCTGTAAAATCGTAAAAAACGTTTATTGTTTATTTTACAACTTATGTGCATACTTAAATTCTTACATCCTAATAATTTCGGCTTATAAATTTTTAATAGATTAGCAGTTTCTTTTTCCCTTGAACCAAATTCTTCTAAAGCAGTACCTTGCTTTCTCGTTGAAGATGTCTAATGCCATGTCGCCTGACATTAGTTTTGCTGCCATAATTTTCACTTTTCATCTGGTAGAAATCTGGCTCTTTGAGCTTTATTTTTCTATTTGCAGAACTTCCTTCATATCTATGCTTTTATTCAAGAAATATCTATAAAGAAATATGCATTATCTTTAATCAATACTTAGTTATATTTCTGGGCGCGCCAGTTCTCAAGTATTCTACTGGCTAATGTCATTACAGTGCTGATGTATTACGGGAAAACACAGAAGCTGTGTTTTCTGCATGTGATGCTGCTCATGGAAGATGGGCTAAGCTCCTAGGTGTTCGTGCTTTGCTTCATCCAAAATTAAGGCTCCAAGAGTTTCTAAGTATCTATAACATAACTCAAGATTTTATTGCGACTACGGAGAAGGTCAGTCTATTATTCCTTGTGCTTCTTTTTTTAATATGAACCTAGATGCCTGACAAAGTTCTCTTAAACAGATTGGTGGGAGGCTGGGCTATAGCATCCGAGGGACATTACAGTCGCAATCTAAGGCGTTCGTTGATTTTCAGCATGAATCTCGAGTCAGTCAGATGTGTGCTAGTGCATCTTTTCCCCCCCTTTTTATTATTATACTTATGTATTTCTATGAAAAAGCCGTCATCATCTAAATATTTTCTGGGTTTGGCTGGGAAAATGCCAAATATAAGAAAGTCCCACATAAGATATTTAATATTTCATTGTCATTTCCAATTTGCTATCAAAGCTTTATAAGTAAGTGCCAAATTACTGGCCTTTTAAAATATGAGCAAGAGAGTGCATGCTGTGAAACCTTGATGGCTACTTAGCAAATACACAGACCTACTATTTCACACAAGGTTAAGCAGGCTATTGCAGCACTGATCAGAAATTCTAAATTTCCTCTAGACTTGGAGGAACCTACACAAATATGTAAGATGATAAGTTTCATAGTAGGGGAAGATATTCACTTGTAAGTCCTAAAATAAGCTAAAAAAGCCAATTTGAATCAATTTCAAGGATTCTATATATTTTAAATGAAGTTTTAACGTTCTGCATGTTTTGATTCTTCCTATGATATCCTGCTTTCTTACTGGTATTCTTACCACTGTATCAATTTTCTTCGTAGATGGCAAAAATTAAAGCTGTTCTTGATCAAGAAACTTGGGTTTCAGTTGATGTCCCAGACGAATTTCAGGCCATTCTCTCTTCACTCTCCTCTAGTGGAGTGCCAACAGATAGTGGTGAGTTTGTCACGGGCAGTCTGATTTCACAGATTATTGTTCGTGATGTTTTTGTTGGACAGTTTGTAAGTATGAGTGAAATGGCGTCTAAAACTGTAGGTCATGCGAAAGAAGTATCTTTTATGCCAGAGGCTGGATCAAATCAAGAAAACGAAGTTGGTCCAGCTGTCCATAATGCCGATGGAAATTTGAATGAGCATGCACGATCTACTTCTAAAACTATTGTGTATGGAGGTGTTGGTTATCACATGGTAAACTGGTTAGTTGCCTCTGCGAAGGGGGGAAAAACTTTTAACTGCTTCTGTGATGCTTATCCCACATATTCTAAACTTTGAGGCCTTTTAGGCTTAGTAGAAAGTAACAAAATTTCCAATCTATATGGTGTATTTTAATTCTTTTTCCATGAAACCCCATTTCTGTCTTCTTGTTTGTAGAAGTTTATGCTCTATTTTTCTGTTCCTCTATATGATTCTACTCTGGATCACTTTTTCTGCCAAAATTCATACCATCAATGCTACTAATTTTTTTATGTTCAAAGCACTGATTATGCAGCTGACATGTATTTGAAATATTATATTTGCAGTGGATTAATATTGCTGAAAATGTTAGCTGAATACGTTGACATTAGCAAGTGTTTGCCAGCATTGTCATCTGAAGTAGTCCACCGTGTCGCAGAAATCCTGAAGCTTTTCAACACACGAACTTGTCAGCTTGTTCTTGGCGCTGGTGCCATGCAGGTACTGCACTCAATTTGAAGCATCATTAATTGGTCTGAAAGTTAAATATATGAAGTCATATCTTGAATTTCCATTGACTTTTATTTACTGTGACTAGAGCACATGGAACTTTTTAGAACACACTAAGTTTGCCTGGATCAGTGTACATTAGATTTTTTTTATATGTAAATTCTTTGTACCATAGGCATAGAGTTTGTGATCTATCTTTTATTCACTATGCATTAGGCTACCTTCTATTCCCCACAACTAACTAATATATAAGAATCTGATTAATTGCTTGGACTGTATTCTAGTTAGACTGTGAGAGAACATCATGCAATAATATGCAATAGTCTTTGTTGAGAGATTTGAGAATTGGTATCCAGGTTCCCTACTGGAAGGACTTTGGTTCATTTGATCTCCCATATCACCTTACAAAAAACCTGCAAATTGAGAATTCACTTTATCTCACAGTTCTTTCTACTTGATTCCTTTTCTCTATATCTAATAGTTAAGTCAATTATCTAGCAAATGGGATTTATCTGTATGCAGAGAGACTTACTTATCTTGAAGCATCTAGAAATTAGAAAGTTCAAAAACTTATAATGTTTGTTACCACGTAATGTAACTTACTGCCTTCTCCATTAGCTCATATCATTATTTTCAGCTTCTTTCACCTAATTAGATGCAAATGTTGTATGTAACTGAACAAGGAAATAAGAAATAAGATTAATTCATAATGCTACTTACAAATATATAATATGGAGTTTTTTATGTTCGTGCGAATTTGTAATTTCAGGTATCAGGTTTGAAGTCCATAACTTCAAAGCACTTAGCTTTGGCGAGTCAAATTATCAGTTTTATATATGCTATCATACCAGGTAAACTTTGTTCTTCCTATTATAGTACTGAAGACATAGTCCTGTGTGTGGCCATCTTTTATGTGCTTTTTTCAACTTCATTGTTTATTCTGTTATATTGCTCTGAACATAGTTGTCTTTGGGTTTGGCCCACCTTTTTATTTTGTTGATTTACTTACTGTGTTTATTCTATTTTCAATTTCCATGCTTATTATGTGCTTTTGCTTTAGTTGCTAGAATACTTTCTGGAAATATTCCATCCGAGAGGTATTTTTTCCAATGTGAAGGATTGAAGGGTTAAATAGCATATATCGAGATTTAAAGGATAAATTTTCAAATAGGGATAATTTGTGGCGTATATATGCGAAAAAACAAAAAAGGGGGAAAAAGAAACCTATTTAATTTATGAATTCATTGCAATGAAATCTAGTCATGAATTCGTTGCAATGAAATCTAGCCCATTACATAATGGAAACTGCAGTACTGATTTCCTTATTGCAGAATGTTGATACTTTTTTCTTACAGATCTACTCATGAATAAAATAACAGTTGTATCTGTTTCTTTATGTTACTGCTCCATAAAACTGCAAACTGTTATTAGAAATCTCTCCCTAGTCTGCATGCTTGGTTGTTGTTGTGACAAATCTCTACGTACTCCTGACATTATTTATCTGTGAATTAAAATTTAGAAATTCGGGGAGTTCTTTTTCTGAAGATACCTGAGGCTCGGAAAGTATTATTGCTGTCTGAGATGGAAAGAGTCGCTCAGGTATTTACATCTTTGACATTTATTTTATAAAATATTGTTAAAATTTTCCTTTATTGCATCCACCTCATCATTACATATTACACAGTATTGTTCTTTCTTAACTTTGTAGTTTGACATATGTTCCTAACTTCCTTTTCATATATAATGAATGGTTGCATAGGACAACATGTTGCATCACGATTCACAACAGTGGTCATGTTTCAAGTCCACAAAAGAAAGTTTGCTAACCATAGAAAATCATTAAGTGTCTCGTGTATTGTAAGTTAGCATTTTGTGTGTTTGTGTGGGGTTATGGTGTTTATGAGGTGGCTACTTATATTGCTGAATGAGCTACCAAGAATAAAGGGTAGTGAGATCAATCCGATGGACTAATGAGATACATGATAAGTGATGGTCAATTTTGTCGTATTGCCCAAGTACATCCCATGTTCATATTTTTGCACTCAACAAAATAAGACTATGAGTTGTTAATTGTATTTTAAGCTTATGCATGTATTGCTGGTTGACACCCGTTTTGTAAGACAGGATTATAAAGTCCATCGAGATGAAATTCATACCAAGCTTGTTCAAATAATGAGGGAAAGACTGTTGGCGAATCTTCGCAAACTGCCTCAAATTGTTGAAACATGGAATGTACCGGAAGACAATGATTTACAACCCAGTCAGTTTGCTAAGCATGTAACGAAGGTTTGTTGTTCATTACTGCTCTTTTTTTAGAAGTGTTATCATTTTATGATAAAATTTCATATAACAGTGAAGTATACTGTCGTTGAACCTGTTGCATATTTAATGTCAAGTTGATCGAGCCACTTGGTAAAGTTTCTGAAGATATCTGATGTGTTTAATGTTTATTCATCTGATTTGAATCAAAAGCGAAATTAGCACTTGCTATGACCATCACTGCTAATATATTTACAGTAGAACTAAGAAAATTCGTTGAAGTTGTCCCTTGGAACTTTTCTTGACCTATTTGCGAATATAATTTGATTGCTGGAATCATCTGACCAGTTTTGTTCATGTATACAATGAGTTTTACTGGCTGCTGCAATTTTATGTCCTTTAGTTTTATTCATAGATGGTGGATATAAGGTACATGTTCTTTATGTTGTCCACATTATTTTAAAGTGAAAAAAGTGCTGCTGATATTTGCATACCAGATAGCCGTTGTAATGTTTGAATTTTTTTATGTTTGTCTTTAACTTCTAAATCTGTTTGCCTAGTATCTCCACTAAGCAAGATGTTTATCGCCCATATAAAATTTTTGGTTTTCAGTTTCTCTTGTGTCAGGTTTGACACACACTTTCAGTTGAGTGATTTTTTTAATGCAAAGAGTTCTCCCATATTGTTTATTTATGAAATTTTGCACTGTTTTGCTAGTTGTCTGCTATGTGTCTTGGGACTTCTGGCTTTTATATTTAATTTGTCTCTGAGCCTGTTAAGCCAAATAAATGCTTCAAGATTTCCACTTCCTCGCAGTTATCTAACATCACTGTGGTCTTTCCTTCATCCTGATCTATATCTAATTGGATTTTTTTTTTTTTTGACTTTTCACTTTCTTCACAGGAAGTTGCATATCTTCATCGAATTTTATCTCAGATTCTTCTAGAGGTTGATGTTCAAGCAATTTTCAGGTGAGCTTTTGGAATAATTTTACTTGTTAGCTAGAAAATTCCCTCCTTTTTTCCTTTCAACAAAGTCTAGAAAAATCCCTTGATTTTCAGGTGATGTTTGTTGCTAGAAAAATCTCTCATTACCCAATCCTCTACTTCACCACTGAGCCACACCCACACCTCAGTCTAGAAAGACACTATTCAAACTAAATAATATTTCATGCACTTCTCGTGCCTCGTAATTGGCCTTAACTAGGTTTTGGTGCATCCTTTCTTTTCAGTAGAACATTCCTATTTTGCTGCTGTTGAGAATATAAGCCTTAGTTAAGTCATCAATAGGATGCAACATTATATTGTTCCTTGGTTAAAATTTAGCAGTTCTATGTTAAAATATTTCATTGCCCATTGTCAGCAATTGTTGCAATATACTACTTTTGATTGACACTAGGAAAGAGAACCAGAAGAATAATCATTAGTCCCTGAAAATAAAATTTATAGTTACCGCAATTAACCGGATCTAAGTGAAGTCAGTTTTATGAAAACGTAAATGCAGTATCATTTCTTGAGAGTGATGCTTTATGTTGACATGTTGAGCTATTTTCACGGTGATATTATGCTCGAGAAGTGACATGCCTGCTTATAGTTTGTAGCCTATCTTTTTTCCCCTCGGTCTCTGATGGAAGATGAATCTGGAGAGTATGAAGAAAACTGTTTAATTGAATCCACTAATTTATGGTACAAACTTTTATCAAAGATGATGCACAAATTGAAGAGCTTTAGGATCCCAACCATCAGGATCTAACGATGAACTTCAAAATTTCAACTGAAAGATGTAACCACATATTGGAAGTAGGTGCATGTTTGTTTCCCTTCTGAAAATCAAATTCATTTACTCCCCTTCAATAATCCCGCTACAACGTATCAAACACCACCTGTTTAAGAACACAGTTACATGATTGATGCTTTGGATGAAAATCTCTTGTATTTAATTTGCAAGAGATTCCTATGGAACATATCTCTATTTTGTTGGATTGGACTCTCAAGTATCTACGTCCAAAACACTTAAATTGGATGAACAAGTACACATGGACATAGAAGCTACCACAAGTTTTCTGGCTCATAGTGGTAAGTGTTCATATTAGCTCATGATCGGTCACTGTTCTGAACCTTGAGGTGTTTGTATCAAAGTTTTGTCCTACTGGAACGAACACAACCATTCAATTCCTGTGAGATATTGGATGCGAGATATTATTTAGAGAAGATTTTGAAGTGGAATAATATATTTTATGGAGCCAGTAATAAATGCTTTGGATAAATTGTCAGGAGCTCATAGTACAGAAGCTTCGGCAGGTTTTAGGAGCTTACTTTAGGATTTGAATGAAGAATTTCAATCGAAACTAGGCTCTCGGATTTGGCCGTCCATTCAATGATTATCTGTCCTTGATTCTAACAAACAGCTTTGAGTGTAATTCTTATGGGGAATTGTACTCTTTCTACTCTTAGTGTAGGAGAACTTTGGTGGGTTGCTAAGTTGCATAAGCTTAAGCTGCACACTCAATCAGGCAGGCTTTCTTATAGATTGTTGATAGTTTACTTGACCAAGAACTTAGGTCCGGCCATTTAGGTTCAGGATTGCTGATAGTTTTATGCACTGAACCACATTCCATATTTCTTATGCAGGCAAGTGGTTCAAATTTTCCATTCACATATTTCTGAAGCATTTTCAAAATTGGATGTGAACTCTCCCCAAGCCCGGAACAGGTAATTTACTTATATGGTGTCCTGTCCATTTCAGCTTAAGATAGTTGCCACAAAATTTGCATCCGCTGATTTGAATCCATACATGTCCACTCTAGGCTACGGTATGATGTTCAACATATTCTTGGATGCATTAGAAAGTTGCCTTCTGATAACTCCAGTAAAGACGGTGTTCCAAACTATGGTTTACTTGATGAGTTTCTGGCAGAAAGATTTGGACCTGAAGAAGCTCAAGGACAATGAAACTTGATAGAAGCTAACCGAATTTTGTGAGGGAACATCCACTTTTGGATGTCTATGTTTACGTTATACAATTGTGCTCAGGTAATTTTTTTAATCTTTTGTCGTGTTTCAATAATTTACTAGTTTTGTAGTATGTTTTAATATGCTAGCTTACCTTTTTTTTAAATTCATTTATATATTTATTTTGATTTTGATGGATTACATAATTGATCAATACTTTGAAGAATTAATGTTTGTCATGGGTGGTCTGAATGGTGTGCGTGTGTGCAATCATAGAAAGAAAAGATTCCAGCATGAAATATGTGAGTTCACAAGCACATTGAGATTCTATCCAAATGAGGGTGTCACGCCTCTTGTTTGCATGCACTTGCAAATAGATGGTATCCAAACGGAATGCATTACACCTTTGGGAAATGACAATTGAAGGCACGTCAAATGCCATGCTACGTGGTAGAATAAGTAATCAACTATATTTCTTTGAGCTAATCCTGTGTTGATTATGAATTGCCGCGGGTCAAAGCCTACTTCCATATTATGCCAAATTGTACAATTTTATTATAATTATTATTTATTTGTTTGTTTGTTTATTTTTTGGGTGGGTTGGGGTGAATGGGGGTAGGTAGGGGTGCTAAACCATATCTGTATCCAAGGAAATATCCGTAACCGTATCCATTAGGATATGGATATTGGTTACTCAAATCTATAACTGATAGGATATGATTACAGATATGGTTTTGTAGTGAAATATCTGGATATGTATCTGAAATATCCGAATAAATATTAGTCATACTGTTACAATAATTTTAATCCTTAGATTATGGATTTGAGGTTAATTTTGATGATCAAGATGACTAATCTGAGCTTTTTAGATATAATGAACATATTAATGAACTCTTTTTTATCACATGAACTATATATTTTTTAATACTATCTAGTTTTCTCATATCCGTTTTGTATCTGCATGCATTTTCGCTTATATATGCAGATGTATATTTGTACCCGTTTCTGATTTTAGCGGATATGGATAAAAAATTTCATTACCGAGGTATATACGTATCCAAGATGAGCAAGCAGATATATATATGATAAGTATCATATTTGAGCCGTATCCTGACCGAATGCACCCTTAGGGGTAGTTGGGTTATTGCTTGCTAAGATGATGCACGTGATGCTGCATTTCAATTGTCCGAGTTGGGGCTGGTGTCAGCGGAGTGACCTGCATCCAAACTGACTTGTATCTTTAACCTGAATCCATTTTTGCGAAGATCCACTGAACATGAACTTAGATAAAATCTGAACCAGAACCATTCTTGAACTATTGAACTCATGTGAAACCAAAAAATTAAAGTGTACATACATGCATATTATATATCATGTATCCTGTATTGTTATACGTATATATAATATATAGATTATGTGATGAAAATATTTGTCGCGTTTATAATGTGTCATTAGCTGCTCATTCTATTTATATGAAATAAATAGGCATGATATGGCCATGTTTATCTATATGGACTATGTATATAGAATAGTTAAAGTTAGATACTTCAGAGGGATTTGGAGTTCAATTCTTTTGATTCAAATCTGATATCAGGCCATTCAAAATGGAAGCTTTGTTCTAGGATGGTTGATCTAAACCATTTAAGTATCCCAAAAAAATTAAAAATTTTAAAAAAAAATTGTCTGTGTTTTGCTTGAAGATGCATTAACTAGGCAAAAATGGGTGATAGAAAATATATCAGACATACATATTT